TAAAGAGTTATACGGTATTTTCTTCCTCCTTTCTGCATGCCTTCGTGGTGCAACAGTTAGAACACTCGACGCGTATTCAAGAGTTCCAGATTCGAGTCCCGGTGAAGGCATTGCACATTTTTCCCTTCTCCAGCATCAGAAATAACGTAATGAATCTATAGTGGCGCCCGAACTAAAACAAGTGGTGGATGATGAATCTTCAAAAGCAAGATTTGGCGATTGTGTTTTCTAATCCCCATTCTCCCTTTAAAAGTGGAAGTATATAAGGTAAATTGCACCCCCCCCTTTTTTTAACATCGTCTCGCCCACCCTCGAGCGACTACTCAAGTATCAAGGAAGAAATGTTCCTCCTCCTTTCTGTATGCGTTCATAGTGTAGCAGTTAGCACACTCGGCGCGTATTTAAGAGGTCCAAGCTCGAGTCCCGGCCAGGCCACTGATCATTTTTGACGTCTTCCACTTCAAAAACATCCTAATAACTCTATAGAGTCAATAAGAGATTTCATACCGTTAGAATCTATTTCTCCAGCACGTCTTGTAATAATAGATTTTTTCCCTTCTTTCCTCTTTATCTTGTTAAGTTTGAAGAAAAATTAAAAATTTTCTTTTATTTTAGCGAAACATGACATTTCTATTTTTTAGTTTGCCTTTTTAAAACCTAATACAGTTCAACTGTTCACGTGTAAAAGTTAAAAAAAAAAAAAAAAAAAAAAAAGAATTAATTTGCGTTTGCTGCTGTATTTCTCTCTCATTGTTTAAATATTAATGCATTTATCTTGTCTCTGACTATATTTGCGATGAAATGATTTCATAATTGATACCTTATTTTTAATTACAAGTGGATCGGAACCGGAATGACTGAAACTTTTCATTTTATATGCTAATCTCATTAATACTGATTTGAGCTTAGTAAATTTATGTATTGTTTCTATGCATTTACTAATAAAATATGTTTCTGGCATATCATTTAATAATGCATGTCATAAACCTTATCAGCATTTCCGATACAAACAAGCGAATATATAAATGTCTACATACGTGCATAATTTTTACTTTATGCACGAATATTCTAAGAATTCTAAAAATATTATTTGCACTTCACCTCTCCGACCATTATATATTTAACTGCGGTCTCACAGAAGAACATCACGTGAATGCCCAAGCACAAACCTCCTGCCTTCTAAAAGGTTTTTAATTAAAACAAAACGACCGAGAGAAAACATAGGTAATAAAAGAACTGCAAAATATTAATAGAGATCTTTGCCACACAGAATAACTATGCTAAGAAGAAGATACGCATCGAAGAAATGCAAGCGAATGGTTGTACCACAGCGTAATCCGAAACTGACAGTTCTGACTGAGTGATGTGAATAGCATGTTGCCAAAGTGAACCGCAAAGATTCTCGTGTTGCTGCCCAGCCGGTATTGTGTTTGATGACACCGACTACCGTAACGATGAGCCGGGAATCGAATTCCGGAAAGGGCATGTATGTTTGTAAGCGTACAGTGTCTGTATCGCATGGGGGCACTCAAAATAAACAGCGATTCGAAAGTCCTCTCGAGAGGTTGGTGGTAGGGGAAGAACGGGAAAGAGACCCTCGGATCACCCCCTCGGGGTATTCTCCCTTAAAATTTGGGGAGAGGGAAGGAGACTAACAATTAGCTAGGTTCAGCAATACCTCAAATCACCTATGGGTCTACGGAGGTGTTGATCAAGCTTCTACCTATACCTGCACTTCATCTCTAATATGCTCAGGTATTTTACTCACACTTTATTTCACATGATTTTGGCCATGTACATTTGCTGTGTTGACACATGTGCATCAGGTTCGTTTTAGATTCTTGGGTAATATTTAGTGCACATCATAAAGCACGCATTATTAAGAAAAATCAATCAATGGACTATATTTTTCTGTTTTTTTCGCAGCATGAAAAATTTAATATTCTATTTATATGCGGTATAATATGATTTACATGGCATTACATTAAATACACTTGTAGAAATAATGAACTAAAACTAAGCCTTTTCTACTCCAAAAATATAAGCCTTATATAAATAAGCGGGAAAAATTGAAAATACTTTGCCTAGAAACCCCGAAAAAAAGAGAGAGACAGACAGATAGCTGTAACGAAGTACACACCTGTAGAAAATGGAGAGAAATTATAGATATATGTATGCAGAGTTGTTACCTTAATGTAACATATCTTGAAGTTAACAAATGCTAGCATTTTGTGAAGCTTTGCGTTGGTCAGATTAATGCTACACTGTAAGCAAATGGTTTATATACCTTTGCAAACGAAATCGGTATGCTAAGTTTAACCTTTTTTAAATTTCTTTCAAATTCATTTCCTTATATCGGGTGGAAAAGATCTAAATTTTTCCACGGTTTGCTACGGAACTCTTTTTGTTAGGCAATTAAAATCATAAATTAAAATTAAATTTTTGCCAAAGCGCAGTTGTGTTAAAGGAAAAAATCTGATGTGTGCAGCACATGACTTCCTTGTGCGGATTCTAGAATAGAATAAATGCACTCTTTAAAATTCACTATATTTGTTTACCATATTTGTTATTCTGGCACTAGGTTCACTTACCATTACTTCCTTGTACGAAGTAAAAAGGAAGTATTAAGCTTCAGGCATCATATTTTAACGCAAATATCCACTTTGACCGCTTTCGAATGCAATTTAACGACGTTTTTGCTTGATTCTGTGCGTAAGGACAGAATAAAAGACTTTTTTCCTCCAAAAAAAACTAAAAAACTGCTTCAAAATGAATTCTGAAGAGAAATGTTCGTGGCGTCTGACGAACGTATGTACGTACGTGCGTACGAACGTACGTATCTCCATAACTCAAAAACGAGTAGCCTCAGAACGTTGTAATTTTGTATATAGGACTAATATAACATGTAGATGTGCACCTCGTATTTTGGCTTCAATGGGCCGCGCCAAACGTATATAAATATATTTATAAATATATCCACTCTGTTACCCGGCTCAGTGATCTCAGTTTTTTACTCCTATATGTTTGTAAATTCTACATTTTTTTCTTTAAAAATGATTGAATTATGTTGTTTTTATCTTCCAGTTAAGGGTTTTATGCCTTTAGTAAATCTGTATGCAATATCTTTAGAATTATCAACAATTTAAAAGTTGTTTAAGTGCCGCTAAGCCTATTTTGATGGCGGCCATTGCTTGTTTACATTTGAAACAGCACAGTAGTGAATTTGTTGCCAATCTAGAGAAAAGTAGCTTCGCAACAACAAAGATAAACGCCTTCATTTATTATTGCGATTTAAAATCATGCTTAATCCTTTCTGGAATTTTTTCGAGGAAATAAGTGTTTAAGGTTTACTTAATTTTTAATCATTTAATTTTTAATAATTAGTAATTTAATTTTTAATAATTAGTAATTTTTAGTAGAGATATTTTGAGTTTTTATGTGTTTTTGCCTTGTCGCGAAGTGAGAACTGAATTAATTGAATGACAAATACTCAATCGTCTGTGAAAAACTGTTTCTTTTTTGTTTTGTTTGCTTAATTTCTTTTATACATCGTTCTAACTTTATTATAGTACTTGAATAGAACATGTGGTAACGATTAGATAATTCTTTAAATGATACAACTTTTGTGCATTCTGAGTTATAATATGAACGAAATATAATACTGTTAAGTGAACCTAGCCCTAGAGTGTCGCTATGGTAAACAAATAGAGTGAATTTTAAAGAATGCACTTATACTATTGTGGTTTATGCGCTGTCGTCGAAGTAGATATAATTAAATCCAATAAGTTTAAACAAAATGCAAGAAAAAATGCGTATAATTTAATATTCCGTACAAGGAAGTCATGTGGTGTACACATCAGATTTTTTTAACTCAGAATGCACCAAATTTATATCATCTTAAGAATTATCTAATCGTTGCCACATGTTCTATTCAAATACTTTAATAAATCCAAAAAGATGTATAAAAGAAATTAAGCAAAGAACAACAACAACAACAACAAAAAAAAAAAAAAAAAAAAAAAAAAAACAGTTTTTCACAGACGATTCAGTATTTCTCATTCAATTAATTGAGATCTCACTTCGCGACAAGGCAAAAATACATAAAAACTCGAAATGTTTGTATTGAAAATTATGAAGTAAATCTTAAAAACTTATTTCCTCGAATAAATTCCAGAATGGATTAAGCATGTTTTAATTCACAATAATAAAAGAAGGCGTATCTTTGTTATTGAGAAGCTTACTTTCTCTAGATTGGCAACAAATCTACTATTCTGCTGTTTCAAATGTAAACAAGCAATGGCTGCAATGGCAAAATTATTAGGTTCAGCGGCACTTAAACAACTTTAAAATTGTTGATAATGCTAGACATATTGCATACAGACTTACTAAAGGTATAAAAACCTTAGCCGTAACATAAGAACAGCATAATTCAATCATTTTTAAAGCAAAAAATGCACACTTAACAAAAATATAAGAATAAAGAAACTGAGATCACTGGGCCGAGTACAGAGGGGATATATATATACATATATTTATATACGTTTGGTGCGGCTGATTGCAAACAAAGGTGCACATCTACATGGTATAGCAGTTCTATATACAAAATTTCAACGTTCTGAGGTTACTCGTTTTTGAGTTTTGCGAGATACATACGTACGTACGTACGCACAGACGCCACGATAAATTCTCTTCAGAATTCATTTTAAATTAGTTTTACCATTTGTTTGGGGGGGGAAAGAGTCCTTTATTCTGTTTCTTACGAACAGATGTCAAGTAAAAAAGTTACATTGCATTCGATAGCGATGAAAATGGATATTTGCTTTGAAATATGATGCCTGAAACTTTTCACGATTACAATACTTCCTTTTTACTTTGTGCAAGGAAGTAAAAATTACTACTAAAATCCGTAGTTATTATGAAACTGGTTACTTTGAATTATTTGTAGTTATAAGTCAGTCTTGATGAATTTGAACTGAATTACATTTTTTTTTCTTTTTTAGCTGTGACAGTTTAGATGCGGTGATGGTATTCATAACTATTAACGGCCAGAAGGAGAGAGTCGATAATTTTTGTGGCAACAAGCTCCCTGCGCAACTGATGTCCAACGGACCTTCGATGTTGGTTGAGTTCCGATCTCTCCATTCCTCTCCAGAGGTCAAAGGATTCAGAGCCATCTACAAGTTCGTAACAGGTATGCTATTCTTATCTTCCTCACAATCAGAATATGATGGATCAATTTGTTATGATTCCAGCATCACCAAACCTCTTTTAAATCTTCTTTAAGAACACTATAAGTAATTTGTTACCTAAATTAAAATATTCAATGTAAATTGATGTCCAGAATGGGGCAAACATAAACACCGAATGGGCCAGTAAGTATATGCAATTAGCTCCCAATTAATTGAGGGCCGGTAAACTGGCCTGTTGTTTCATCGTGCCCTATTTAAAAACAATAAGTTTGTTTATTAAATAAAATAACACGCCGAAGAATAAGTACTGAATATACTTGAGCGATAAAAATCAGCGTAAATGCATACAACGTAAGTGCATACATATTAAGTTCATACATTTTGTGAGATTTGTTACAAAGGCTTGAATAGTTTATTTTTCAGCTACAGAAGTGAAAATGGCAAAAGAGAAGAGGGTGCTCACGCGATAACAATAAAGCAAAAAGTTTGAGAAAGCTCCTCTTAAGGAAAGAAATGAAGCAGGTAGTGTCATCCACTGACAAAATCAATGGTTTTTTATGAATGTTAAATTGCCGTTGCCACCGAAGATGGCATAGTGGTTAGGAGAGCCGACTACAATACCAAAGGGCCTGGGTTCAAATCCCGGAGAAGGCATGGCTGTAACTGTCTGTCCCTTCATAGGACTTAATGTTGGCCGCCTGTTAGGTGCCTCCACAATAAAATGGCCACCACTTCTGACCTTAGGGGCAGCTAGTGCCGTTATAGGCCAGTGCCCACCATTGGAAAAAAACATTCGATACGTGTTCAGATCCCTGGGAGTATCTTGGTTGTGTCGGCGTTTACAGTGTTAGCCAGTATTCTTTAAAAAGTGTTCTCCACAAAGGTTCGATTCCGTCGGATCGATAGCCTTTGTGATAATCTAATACACCATAATAACCACTATAATGGTAGAAAGGACTATCAGTACCATATGATTTAGGATACTGATTAAGATTCATTTCCCAAAAATATGTAATCTATACATCGGTTGCTATCGCCACCTATCTAAAGGCTTCGACAGGTAAGTTTAACCCCAAAGATAAAAATTTTAGAAAATTTCCTATAGTCAAGACTTGGCCTTATAGGTGACCATTGTCGAAAAAAGACAAAATATTGCTCGGCATTCGAAAATCGAATGTTGAATGCCCATCCAGACGTATAGAGGTTAAGGAAGCCGACTGCAGTATCAAAAAGCCCAGATTCGAATACCGGAGACGGCATGGGTGTCACTGCCCGTGCCTTCACAGGGAACAGGGCCCCACTGATACAGGCTTCCAACCTAAGGTAATAATGAAATTTCCAAACGAAATTAGTGGCCGATCAGAGGAAAATATTTACTCCACTAGCAGCCGCCACAGCAACCACGCGCCCGGCAGATCGAAGGAATTTCTTGAAAACATAGACAAAAGTTACAGAAATATTGCAAGGTTTGACAAGCATGATCATCTCTGCACATAGTACCACGTATACATTCCTATTTAAAATACATTCGCGCGACAAAAATTGCTACATTGCAATTGATGAGATTTAACGCTGATTAATATACTTAATTAGTTATTAAAATTTCTAAATTCATATAAACTGACAATGCAAAATTTAGAAAAACTGCCTTCATAAACATGAAATAAAACATACTTAAGAAGAGTTGGAACCCCAAAAGCTTCAAAAAATTGTGATTTCGGATTTTTGCATTTTCAAATTCTCTACACTTTTATCTTTCTAAAAATACCATTTTTTAATCTCTATGAAAATTAGAACTGTAAAAAAATCTAGTTTTAATTTGTCATCTACTGCTTTGATCAATGAGGATTTTTACATGAAAACGTGATTTTCTCCAGACATGATTTTTTTATACTCGATGTACCTTTTCTCAGGAACTACTGCTCAGAAGTATCTAAACTTTTTATGGCTTATTTATTAGGTTCCCTAATATTTACTGAAATGAGCTTTTTGTAATAAACTTAGAAATAAAACAAATTCTGAAATGTTTCAGATTTTAAATTACGTCCAAAGGGGCGTTTTTTAACATTTTTTGTGTTACCTTTCTTTATTAAATATCATGTTCCTCGCACTTAAACCATAAGATCCAGTGCAACAGCAATATCGCAAAATAGTTTAAAACGAGCATATCTTTAGAATTTCCGAACAGAGACTCACGCGCTGGAGATAAAAATGTTTTTTTCTGCACAACGTTGCCATTGCTCGCTTTGAAATCCTTGAGTTTGTTAATCAAAATTCGTCAAAGTTTTAAAAATAGGAAATCGATCATGAAACAATTTCAAATTTCAAATTTGGTCTTCCACATGCTCATATTCGTTGGAGGATTACGTTATTCAAAATTCGATGACTCTATGTACCGTTGTTTTATCACAATACGAGAAATATACATACATTTATGCAGATTTTTAGTCCAAAGGGATTTGAATCCCGAAGAACTATTAGTTTCGTTTTGGCATTTTGCGTCGGACTCATAAATGTCGGTTAACTTTTCAAACTGTTGCCACAAAATGTTAGAGTCCTGCATTATATTTGAAGAAATTAAATAATGAAAAATCTGCATAAATGTATGTATATTTCTCGTATTGTGATAAAACAACGGAACATAGAGTCATCGAATTTTGAATAACGTAATCCTCCAACGATTATGAGCATGTGGAAGACCAAATTTGAAATTTGAAATTTGTTTTATGATCGATTTCCTATTTTTTAAAATTTGACGAATTTTTGATTAACAAACTCAAGGATTTCAAAGCGAGCAATGGCAACGTTGTGCAGAAAAAACATTTTTATCTCCAGCGCGTGAGTCTCTGTATCGGAAATTCTGAAGATATGCTCGTTTTAAAACTATTTTGCGATATTGCTGTTGCACTGGATCTTATGGTTTAAGTGCGAGGAACATGATATTTAATAAAGAAAGGTAACACAAAAATGTTAAAAAACGCCCCTTTGGACGTAATTTAAAATCTGAAACATTTCAGATTTTGGTTTTTTTTTTTTTTTTTGCATTATTTAATTTCTTCAAATATAATGCAGGACTCTAACATTTTGTGGCAACAGTTTGAAAAGTGAACCGACATTTATGAGTCCGACGCAAAATGCCATAACGAAACCAATAGTCCTTCGGGATTCAAATCCCTTTGGACTAAAAAAAATTTAAAAATTTTTTTTGTGTGAGAAAATTGCTAAATTTTACTATGCCTAACATAATATCTTGTAATTTACTCTAAAATTCAGAATGTTTCAAAAGCTCATTTCAGTATAATCACATAGATATACTTTAATTACAGAAAAAATTTCAAGCTTGTATCTACAGCAGATTTTGAACGTGTATACGAGCCAGTTTCCCATAGAAAGTCCTCCACGAAGGTATCCCTCCCCTTAGGCAGATAGCCCTAGTGTGCTTTGCCGTAATTAAATACACACACACACACACACACACTACAGCAGATTTTGAGAAAAGGTACACTGAAAACGGCCAATTTAACATTGTCGGTGCAGGGGTTTCTGATACCCCTTAATAAATGTCCTTTGTTAACAGAGAGAAATGTCTTTAACGTGTTCATAACTCTTGGACGTGTTCGGTGAGATTGTCCAAATACTGAATAAAGTATTCACAGGTAAGATAGTAGAGATAATCAAAGAAATCACTGTTCGTATTGGAATTAAGCCATTCAATAATCTCTAGAATAAATCACTCTTTGCAGTAGTATTCATTGTTCAAGAATGTCAGTAGTCTTGATAGTTTCCAATATTGAGAAATTAGGACTATTTTCAAGCAAAATAACAATCAAATGAAAGTCAATGAAATCATTATTCATTCTAAAATTGAATTGTTCTACTTCCACTGATAGAGGTTTTGGCTTGCACAGAGATGAATAGCACAAATTATACAGTGGTTCACAGCTTAAACACTGGTAATATCCATTCAATTACATTATTCGCCGTTGCCCGTAAGCTCATACTTCTTGCATCATCTCTGATAGCACTGATCACATAACATAATGCATCGGAGACACAGACACATTACAATAACACAATTAAAAGAAAGTCAATGCTTCTGTGAAACACACATGAAGAAAACCTTAAAGTTACGATATCAATTTCAATGGCGCTAGAATGTCATCTCAACGAAGTAGATATTCGCAAAAAAAAAAAAAAAAGCGACAATTCTGTATCTCTCGTTCTTCTGAGCTGATTGACGAAATTTAAATTGTGTTTTTCATGTCTCAAAAATACGACTTAGGATACGTATTAGATTTATGTATAGCGTTGTTCTAATATAGGTATTTCGACATTTTAGCTCCACAATGTTAATTCAGTTTGGTATATATTTATTAAACTCTGTTTTTTTATTAAATTTATTTGATTCTTCCTTTCACATTTGGAAATTCAGGTTCATTCCAAATAAAATTCACCCATTTTGTATGATTTATTTTTTTAATTTGTATTTTTAAATAATTTTTGTGACTTTTTCAAGAACAATTTTGAATTAAAATCTATAAATATTTTACCATCATCTTAAAGTAGATGTATTTCTAAGCATACCTGCAAAAAATTACAGTTTTTTATTCAAAATGTCCGTAGATATACGTCAATTTATATATTGGCGCGATTTGAAATTTGGCATATTTGGTGAAAGCGATAAAACATCAAATGTGGTTTACACACTTTCCTAAAACTATTTGAAAGAAGGAACGCTGTGCTCTATTTTCCGCTCATGCACACTGTAAAAAGGTAGGAACGACGTTCCTTTTTCTCAGCTCCGGCATAATGGAAGCGAAAGAAAAATCGGTTGCCATATATTAAGAAGTTCGCCAAGTGAATTATTAGTGGCGCAAATGGATAAAATTGTGCCAAGATAAATATTTGAATTTCTCCGTAAATGTCGAGCCAAATTTTACAAAATTTGATATCTAGGCATAATTTGAGTCGTAGAATCGAAATATGGAAAAAAAATTCTTTT